ACATATACATAAGACTCTGGGAGGGCAATGTTTACCTAATTTAATTACTGTCATTTAACCCTATCCCTCTCTTTGTTGACTAGCTTCAAATGTCTTACGTAGAGCACAGGGTTCCACTCTGACTTTCAGGATTCACAAGGACATCAATTATCAGCTCTTACTGGCCAGCGTTTGATCCTGGAGTGCCCTGCTGGCCCCGTCCCATCCCGGGGCAGGCTGAGACAGTGATTAAGACAGGGTGTGGTGGCATGGGCCTGTAATCCCAGTGCTTGGGAGGCTGAAAAACAGAAGAATCACTGCCAATCTGATCTACGTAATGAGACTGTTTGGACCCTGTAGACCCTCAATACGGAAAAAAGCCCTCAATACGGAAAAAAGCCCTCAATACGGAAAAAAGCCCTCAATACGGAAAAAAGTCTTTTTTTTTTTTGCAGTACTGGTGATTGAACTCAGGCCCTTGCACTTCCCCAGGGAACCACTTATTCTAGCCATCTCTCCAGCCCCAATGCAGTATTATTTGTGACAAACTGATTTCACTTAGGATAATAGCATCAAAGTTCATTCATATTATAGACTAGGACAAAGTGTATACACTATTTTTTTAAAAATTTTATTTATTTATTTGTGTGTGTGTGTGTGTGTGTGTGTGTGTGTGTGTGTATGGCCAGCTCAGCCCACCAGGGGTCTGGCTGGCATGTGGTGGTGGGGGATTGAACCGCGGTCCCTGTGCTTTGCTAAGCTTGTTCTAAGTAGGCGCTTTAGACCACTGAGCCATCTCACCAGCCCCAATATACACTATTTTTTAAAATGTATTTACTGCAGGATATACAGGGTCTTACTATACAGAACAAACTCATAGTGATCCTCCTGATTTCAGCCTCCCAAGCACTGGGATTACAGGTGGGCCCCACCACACCCAATCTCAGTGGCTGCCTCGGCGTGCCCCCGGGCAGGGTCCGCACAGCATGGGAACTGAACCCCGCCTCACTACTTTTTTCAGTATAAGCATTTTATTGCTCTGTGACTTATTTTGTTCTAGCATCAAGCAATAAGATTGCCTGGTCATCTAAATGAACTCATTACTTAGGAACCTTTCTAACTGAATAAACGGAGGATCTGTAGATGTGAAAGTTTGTTTGTTTGTTATTTTGTTTTTGAGACAGGGTCTTGCTAAGCAGCTCATGTCGGCCTTGAACTCATTATGTAGCCCATTTTGGTCTTGAACTTGCAGTGATCCTCCTGCCTCAGCCTCCTGAATGCTGGGATTATAGGTGTGCACCGCCACACCTAACTGCACATGAAAGTTTGAAGAGATTTTTCCTAGGTTTCCACATGATGCATTAGAAATATAGCAAGTTTATAAAATAATTGATAATTTTTCATTAATCGAAGCTACGTTGGAAGGCATTTGACACTGTTGCAGTATGACAAAAATAAATATTAAAATATAACTTTTTTTTTTTTCTTTTTGAGACAGGGTCTCACTATGCAGTTCAGGCTGGCCTTGAATTCATTTTGTAGCCCAGGCTGGTCTCAATTTCACAATGATCCTCCTACCTCAGCCTCCTGAGTGCTGGGATTACAGGTGTGCATCACCATGCATGGCTTTAGAACTTACTTATTGGGACTGGGGAGATAGCTCAGTAGAATAAGCGCTTCCCTGGCAAGCGCAAGGGCCTGAGTTCAACCCCCGGTTCTGCCAAAAAAATAAATAAATAAAAAGGACTTATTGACAACTCTAGAGTTATTTTTTTAAAATTAGAAAGTAAAGTTTTTGAGTGATTGTAATATGAAATCAGTATATGTTCTTCATGACTTTTTATATACCTCTTTTTATTTATATAGTTCTTTTTTTTTTTTTTTTTTTTGAGGAAGGGTCCCATTATGTAGTTCAGTCTGGCCTTGAACTATGTAGCCCCACTATGTAGACTACTAGGCTGGTCTCAAACTTGTGGCAGTCCTCCTGCCTCAGCCTCCCAAGTGCTGGGTGTATGTGCTACCCAGTTGATTTATATACCTCCTTTGATTAGATGTTATTTTCAAAGGAGAACTAACATAAATAGAAATATTCCTGAACAATAGGTGGTATCTGACCTCAAATGGTTAGACTTACTGGTTTTTTGCTTTATAACGATGCCAAGACGTTATGCATTCAGTAGAAGCTATACTGGAAGCTGAATGTGGTGGTGCACACCTGTGCTCCCAGCACTTGGGAGGCTGAGGCAGGAGGATCGCCATGAATTTGAGGCCAGCTCGGGCTACATACTTAGCCCAAGGCCAGCTTGGGCTACATAGTGAGCTCAAGGTCAACCTGGGTTACACAGTGAGACTCTGCTCCCCTGGCGAAAAGTGAAACTTTACTTTAAACATTGATCCTCTCCCGGGCTAGCAGCATGCTCAGAGCCATAGCTCCTAGCCAGCCTCTGGGCATCGCAGCGTTGGGCAGCGTCAGGGGTTTGACTTGCACTTTCCATTTCAGGTGTCTTCCACCCAAGATCCCAGTGGATTTCTCCCTGTAGAAGCCCACTGTACTTATAGGAGCACCAGTAAACGGCAGACAGTACAGAAGGATTTGCCGTGTTGATTTTACCAAGAGGTTAATCTTTCACCTCCTTAAGACGGGGAAGAAACAAAGCTGGTGGTGGACCCTCTTGTGGTCAGAGTCTGAAGCAGAACTGACCCTACTCTGCTGACTTCTCTGAACAGGACTCAGCCAACCACCACTCCAGCCCCCTTGCCTCTTTGGGCCAGAACTGGGGAGTCAGGCCAGGCCTCTAGGTCTGGTCATTGCCTGCCACCATGGCGAAGCACAACTCCATTCTCAAAGCTGGTTGCTTCTCGGATTATGGCACTCAGCAGTAATCACCAGCCATAGCAAATAAGCTCAGGAATGTTTATTTATTTTATTTTTTCTTTTTGCAGTGCTAGGCAGGGAATCTGAGCTCCCTAGGCAAGCACTGCAGCTCTGAGCTACATCCCCAGTGCAACAGGAACGCATTTATCTATCAGCCATGTAAGAAAATACACATCCCAGGGGCTGGGAAGATAGCTCAGAGGCATAAGCACCTGCCTGGCAAGTGCAAGGTCCTGAGTTCGATCTCCAGTACTGCATGCTGTGACAGCCCCAGAACCATGCTGGCCCCAAATCCAGCCCCATGGCACATACCTGTAATCCCAGTGCTGGGGGAGCTGAGACAGGAGGATCATTACAAGTCCAAGCTGTGTAGTAAGACCCTTTACAGAAAGAATAATAATTAAAAAAAGAACGAGAATTTGTATCCCACCTCCTCACACCTGTATACAGATTTTCCCCTTTCCCAAACAGAGGCTGTCACCTCCCATGCTAACCCATTTACCCCACCTGGCTGAAGTGTCCCCTTCCAGCACCGTGGTGGGGTAGGGGAGCCTGGTACTCATTTTCAGCTGTGTGTGGAGCTGGGCTCAGGCCACGATACAGGCGCCGGGTGGGCAGGAGTGGGCAAGGGTGAAAACAAGGAATGTTGGGCTCTTCCTCAGGGCATGCACAGGGGGCCTCTGCAGACCCAGAGCCCTCTCTCAGATGGCACCCCTCTTCTAGCCTTCAGGCTGCGGCAGGGTGTGGGGAGCCTCAGATAGTTCCCAATAACTCTTGGATAGCCAGCCATGTCCACCCCTCTCCTGGGGAAATAAAGGGCTGTGGTCTAGGAGCAGAGAATAGGGGACTTCAGCCCTGCACCTTTGCCCTCTCCTAGGCCAAGAAGTCAGCGCCAGGCAGGGGGCCAGAGCACTGGGAGGAGTGCGCCCTCCTCTCCTGGGAGTGCTGGTGCACATGCTGAAAAAATTCACCCCTTACCCAGCTTCTGTTTCCTGGCCGGGACTGGATGTGATTGATGGCAGGTATTGCAGGTGGGGCCCAGACACTCTGTGGCAAGGCGACAGGGAACTAACCTGGGCGGTGCTTGCTTGCTTTTTTTTTTCTTTTTTTGTGGAACTCGGGGATTGAACTCAGGTCCTTGCACTTGCCAGGCAAGCATTATTCTACTCAGCTATCTCCCCAGCCCCCTTGGGCGTGTGCTTTCGACAAATGTACGTTTACTGTTTGCTATGTAACACGTACTGTGAGTCCACCCAGAACAAAGCAGACACCCCAGCCAGCACTTCTCTAGGGGTGTTGCAATTTTAAATAGGCTTGAGCTTATGAAAGAGGGCAAGTGTTTTGGGCGCAGGGAGAGCCGGCTGCCTCCCAGCTGCTGCTTCCAGAAGCTACAGTTTAGCAGGGCAGGTGGGGGGGTGGACTTCTTGGTGTGAGGCCGGATGAGTTGTTCTTGTCTTCAGATTTCCCCGAGGTCCTGCAGCCTTCCACTTTTTTAAAAGAATGTAATTGGTACAGGGTCTCACTATGCAGCTCGGACTCTTAGTGATCCTTCTGTTTTCAGCCTCCCCAGGGCTGGGATTACAAGTGTGCGCCACCATGGGTCTTTGTGGCCCCCTGAGCGAAGCCGGGGGCGAGGCCGGCGGGGCATGTGGTGCTGGGGATCGAACCTCAGGCCCAGCGCTTGCTTAAGCAAGCTGAGCTATCTCATCGGTCCCTGCAGCCCCTTTTCTAGACTCCTTCCCCCAGGATTTTAGGAAAGCAAACGACAGTCAGGAAGACTTGAGTCAGGCTTTCTTTCGAAAGAACATCAAGAAATGAAAATTCAATAACAAGGAAACTAATAGTTATAGATCCCTGCCCTCAGACACAAGGTGCACAATCATCTTAGTTAATGCATCTACGGAACAACCAAAGCGAGTCCCACAGAACGCCACCCTTGGGCGCCGCGGGGTGTGAAGATCTGGGTGGGTCGCGCAGCGGCGCACATGTCACTTGCAGCGCTCACCTTTGGGTTACCGCTGAGACACCGAGACAACGGCAGGGGCGGGGCCGACGTAAGGGCGGGCCCGTATCTGGGCGGGGCCACAGGCCCCTCCCCTGGGTCCGGCGCGGGCGGGCCGAGCGAGCCCGGCGCTGCAATAAAGAAGTGTGCGGAGGCGGGCGAGGCGCACTTGGCTGGAGAGAGCGCGCGCGAGCGATACACGTGTCTCCTTGGAATTAGAGCCTCAGTTTGCCCCGCTTCCTATGCCGGGCAAGTTCGGCGCGCCCCGTCGACTCCCCTTTGTGTTTCCCGACCCCACCCCACCACGCAGCTTCCTTGGATCGGTGGCCCAACTTGGCTAAACTACTTTGTCCCGGGAGCGGCGCCGGGGGACCGGGCACTGCGCATGCGGAGCTCCAAATTCAAACAGCTGTTTGCTGAGGCTGCGGGCCGGCGGCCGCCGAGAAGCGAGGGCTAGAGGGAACTTTCTGGAGGAGGCGGCTGCCCGACAGCCATGGTGGACCGAGGTCCTCTGCTCACCTCGGCCATCATCTTCTACCTGGCCATCGGGGCGGCGATCTTCGAAGTGCTGGAAGAGCCACACTGGAAGGAGGCCAAGAAAAACTACTATACGCAGAAGTTGCATCTACAGCGCGAGTTCCCATGCCTGAGCCAGGAGGGCCTGGACAAGATCCTGCAGGTGAGCGACTACCGGTATCCCCATAGACACCTGTGGCTAGGGGTTTAGGGGTACAACCTCTGATGACTCAGTTCCTGGGGAGGTCCTGGATTGAGGGAAGGCCACGTCCCCTCATATTTGTCGCTCGCCGCGGGACTCGGAAATCGTCCACGCTTCGCGACTCGTCTTTCCGGGGAAAGAACTTCTGGGAGACTCGTCTCTCCGGGGAGAGAACTTAGGGCTGACTCCCGACTGAACTGGGGCCCGCGGTGGCGCGGTGTGGGTGCCTCCCTCTTTGGAGGGAGGCTGTGGGGCGGATAAAGTCGTTTATCTTTTCTTGGAGACGCTCCCGGAGTCCGGGAGCCGAGCCGGGTGCCACCCTTTGCGGCTCCACTTCCCCGCTCCAGGGTTTGTGCCGCTCTAGCCGGCTTCTGAACTCCGCAGGGCTGTGCAAGGCCCCCTCCCCCGCAACCCAAACCTGGGCAAAATCTCCCAGACCCCGCGGGGCTCCGGAGAAGCGGGGAACTCCGCTGTGCCTGAGCGCACCAGACGAGGGTTGGTGGCTGGAATGCTGCGGACAAGGTCAGGCTTCCAGGAAGGCTTATCTCGCGGAGACATTCCTTAAGGGCTTGGAGGTAAACTTCGTGAAAGCAGCGGGTTGCACCGGCGAGCAAAACCCTGGTTGTCCCTTTTCAGGGCGGAAGGATTTTGTATGGAAGAGAGGCGGGTGAGGGCAGCTATCCCAGGGGCCACTAGGACCTTGGGCCACTTTGGGGCCAGCTCTTGTTCTGTCTCCGCTTTTTGAGGGATCAGCTTCCTCTGTGTCCTTTCTGGCCAGCACTAAAAAGGCCTCACTAGGGAGCTAGGGTGGGTAGTGTCGTCTAAAGTACTCTATTTACCTGGAGTGGAAGATGGCAGGAGAGGAATCTAACGAGAAACGTTTAATCTGCAGCAGTTCTGTGATACTGTATGCTGAGTGTTCTCAGTTTTCCTGTATGTGGAGTGGAATGAGCCCATCTGTGTGTCTCTTTCCCGCCCTGTACTTCGTAGTGGTTAAACGCGTTTGGAAATCGCGACGTCTTGCCAGTACTATCTTATTTTTGTCCCAAGACCAGATGAACATTCACACAAATGAGCATATAAGCTCCTCGGAAGCAGGGCCTGTAGACCGGTGTCCTTTGGTGACCGGTGGAAGGCTGGCAGGTGCTGTGTTGGATTTCGGTGGCGCCTCCTTCCTGAACTGGGGCAGTGTCCAGGGTGAGGGGAGGTGAGGTTGGGAGTGAGCTTCCGAAGACATTTGTTTTTTTCTGCTCCTCCTATCAGGAATTCCGGAACAGTACGTGTTCTTGCGGGGGGGGGGGTGTCTCATGTGTAATGCTGGGGGAATGGGGTCGCCTTATGATTTCCCTTGAGGAAACAATCCTTCCGGAGGAAGCAGTTGTTGTTTAGTTTGCTCAGGGGCTTGTTTGTGGGGGGAGGGGAGGATGCTTAAAGCTTGAGCTGCCCTCGGGCTGTTTCCCTCTCCGGGCTGCTGCTCCAGCAGGGGAAGGAAGGAAAGAATTCAAGGCTAGATGTGGGAAAATAAACTTCAAAACTGAAGGAGAAGGGAAGGGGGTGGCGGTGGCCCAGGGGTTAGGCAGCCGGGTGCAGCTGGTGGTGGTAGCTTTGGAGGCTGCACGGCTTCCTTAAGGTGTTCAGACAGGACATCTTTTATGTTCAAGTTCCACTGATCTGTCAACAGTTGACCCCTCCCCCCAAAAAGTGGGTAGATAGCATTTAGAAGGATTTGGGCATTAGGCCAATCTGATTTGGACGCTGGTTACAGGTAGATAAATTCTTCAACATGGATACCTCTATCCTTATGCCCAGTTAAAAATAAAATAAAAAACAACTGATTAAAAACTCAGGTCATCTGTGACTTGGGACTGTCCCCTCCCTTCATAGAAAAAAAACCCAAGAAGTGAAAACCAGCGGAAGCCTTTGCCAGCAGGAGTTTTAATCTGTAGAAATCTGCCTTGCCAGGCTTTCCTATCTGTGACTTGGGCATTGCCTTATTCTCAGGAAATTGGCCTAAGGAAAAATGAGAACTCCAAAAAACCTTTCTTGTTGAGCTGCTTGGGCATCTTCCACCTCAAGGTTGGTGTCTAGTTGCAGCTTCTGAACTGCCTCAAGATCCCTAAAAGAGCTGCTATAGGAATTCCATGGGTGGGGGATGCAGCTTGGCTTAGGATTTGTTTCTCTTACCCACAAATTGTATTCACTTTCAAATGCATAAGAAAGCGAGGTAATCCCTTCTCTTTAGAAATACTTCGGAAGTCCTCAGGTGCTTCCTCCCTGGCTTTCCGGCTGGTTGAGTGGACCACACTGCTGCTCTCCTTTCTGCCTTCTGAACCATCTCGCGTATCAGAGTTTTAGTGGGCAGCTTTCCCCACCTCTTGCTGCTTTTTCTGTATTATAGAGGCTTCTGCGAGGGGTGGTAGCGTTTACTGCGCTCCTCACTCTGTTGGGCCTTGTATATATGTGGGTCATCTCAGGGGACAGGGCACAGGCTGCTTTGCCAGGTGGCTTGGCCACGGCCCCATGCAAGCCAGTTAACTTACCTTTGCCTGCTTTTCCTCGTCTGCAAAGCCAGGGCTGAGTGAGGCTCCAGGAAAGAAAAAAACATAAGCAAAATACTGATGGAGAGCACCAGGTTTCCTGCCTCTGGCGGTTGTGTTTACTGAGCACTGTGGGAAAGGTGGCTTCTCGTGGGCTCTGCCTGCAGTACCAGGACATTCTGCCTTCAGATAAGGAAACTGACGCTCTGAGAAGTTAAAGTGGCCACCAGGGCACTAGAGGCACAGTCTGGAGGATGCCCCCAGGCCTACCCCAGAGCCTACACCCTCAGCTACTTTGGCCCCCCTCCTGGCCCTGTGAGGCAGCTGCATTGTTATTCTGTAAGTGAGCCCAGTAAATTGGTTCAGCTGCGCTCTGGACCGCTTGGAAATTGCTTTCTTGTCTTCTCCAGAATAGGCATTGCATGCAGGCTCTGGCCTGCACTCCCCGTGGGACTGAAATAATGCATCACTGGAGCCCTCTGCACTTGACCTTTTGGAAGCCCCCTCCCTCAATGCGCGAGTCCCCCTGAAAACAGATGGTTGAGCTGAGGGGAAGGGATGGGGTGGCAACCCCTCTCAGCTTCTGCCTCCAGCTTACAGTGCTCAGGAAAACGAGGGGTCTGAGCTCCCCATCTGGCACCAGGCACTTCGATGAAGCCCTTTGTGTACCCTCCTCTGTATTCTCTGAGACTGTCCCACAAATGAGGGAGATAAGTCATGTGACATAACCCAACCTCATGCTGCAGAGTTGGGTTTTTCAGATCTCAGGTGTTCTGGGGCTGGGGGAGGGGGGGTCAACATTTTATTTACATCCTGTGGAACCTAGGGCCTTGCCCATGCATGCTGGTCAAGCCCTCTCTCCTGAGGCTACCCCAGCCTGTCCACAGCATTTATTGGATGCCCACTGAACTCCTATGGACAAGGATAAAAAACCAGAAGCCTTGGCCCCCATGGAAATCATCTCCTCTTAAGCACCAAAGTGCTTGGCATACTCGAGCTGTCCACGTTTCCCCGTCCACTTGCCGAGCTCTTGGTACTGTATAACATCCTGCAGCAGCAGTGGTAAGCCTGTTCCAGTTTTGAAGTTCTGGCATTTGTTGCTAACACCTACCCTCTTCCCAAATTTGCAAAGTAGAATCAAGCAGCATCCTGTGCTTACATCTGACCAAAATGCCTGCAGTGGGGTGCTAGAAGTGTAGAACTGTATGGAGAGCTGAGGGTTAATAGGAACCCACCCCCACCCTCCCCCACACACTTTGTTTCAAGCCTGGGTGGAAATCGTAAAACCCCCTAGTCCACTTAACTGCCTTTGTAAGTAAAAGGAGCACAATAGATCTTTTGATTCTGAAGGATCTGAGAGGCCTCACATCATTAGTTCCAGCTTGGATTCTCACCCTCTCAGAACTACTGAAGGGAACAAGTAGGCAGGTTTGGGATTGTGAGAGCAAATGGAACAGAAAGATTCCTTCCTAATGGCTTGTTTTGTGATCCACTGGAAGTTGAGGGTTACCAAAAATGAAATCCAACAGAACAAAACCCCTCAAATTGATAAGTCCACCTTAGTTAACTGCCCTGGTGGAAAGTGAGTTTTTATTAAGTCATTTCTGAGAATTTTCCTAGAGCTGTTAGGATGAGTGCACACTGTACAGTGACTGAGGACAGAGGTATTGAGGGTAGAAATTTGCAAGAGTTGAAAGGTACTGGGGGAGTCTTGGAAGGAGGGCTGTGATGATTGTTGCTTTTAAGTATTTTCCTGGGGTTTTGCCCTATTTATAGTCTGGTGTTTAAGAGAAACACATCCTCCTGGTTCCGAGGCTTTCCGAGGCTTAGCCTGGCTGGCCCTGACCTCAGGCCAGAGGCTTTCATCTTGAACTTGGCTGTCTGCTGGCAGACTGGGCTCAGCTCTGAATACTGCATGATTGTGTTGAGGGGTTAGGGACAGGGAAGGGTAATACTTTGGGGAGCAGAGGAGGCAGCTCTTGGGACAGAACCCCCAAGGGAATTTTGGTGTGCTGGGTCTGCAGGGGTGCCGGCCAGATCTGGGGTGACAGGGAGGAGAAGTGAGGTGGGGAGAGCACAGCAAATGCGCCTGCCTGTCTCTGCCTCCTTCCGTGGGCTCCCCCTTCAGGGAGCGGAGGAGGTCGATGCGCATCTCTGGCCATGTCACAAAGTCCCCCTGGATCCTAGAATAAGAGAGCTGCCCTCCCACCAGTGGATGCAGGGCGTGCTGCTCTAAGCAGGGATCTCTCCAAGGGCACCCCCGCGGAGCCCAGCTCTTGCTGAAGCAGTCGCCTCTGCCCCTTGTGACTTGCAGGTGAGGCGGCATTCTGGATTTGCGAAGGAGGAGCAGAGACTCCTCACCTCCCTAGGACTGCCACGTCTAGATACTCTGCTAGGAGGTCCACGCACAGCTGTGGTGGGTTT